AATAAAAAACAACTGCAGGGCTGGAGTGGACCCTATGAACTGAGTCCAGCCCTTGTCAAGGAGGCACAGTGGGAAATTGAATTCCCAAGCTTTCGTTCAGCAGCCGGATGCCTAAACCACAGAGCTGTCTAGCAGTTTCTTAATCCATGTCAAAAGATGGCATTCCAGTACTAAAACCAGGGTGTAAATGTTAAGTCTTTTGGAAAACATTGAATAGAGCTAGTAGTAGCATCGGACTCTTTGCGTGGGTGTTTTCAAGAGGAGCTCAGTGTATGCTGTACATTTTATAGGACTTCCTTGTTCCCCGGCCAAAGGAGGTGGAAGAGCTGGATGAGAAAGTAGTCACTTTGATGTGAAATACTGAGCGAAGAAGTGAGCCAGGGTGATGTGTGCAAATGTTGCTGCGCATCCCCGGGATTGACACAGTGCACAGATAGGCCACACTTTATAGGCATGCTAAATGTCCAAATCAACTGCTTTTGAACTTTCAGCCTGTCTTGCTCATGCTATTAGCTTTGACTATATGCTCAAGATGGGTGATAATAAATATCTTATAGATCTAGAGGGGAGGGGGAAATAGGTATTATTGAACAGCCATTCTAAAAACTGGGAAACATTCTTAGAGCAAGTTGGGAGTGTGAATGTTTCAGCAAGGGATATCAGTCAAAGCAAACTTCCTGACTTCCCTACTCATTAGTATTATTCTCTCTGCAGCTTCCTAAACCACATTCTTCGTGAAAGGACAGTATTTCTCAGACTGGCCTGTTCTCACCCAGCAAGAGATTTTTAAAAATGAGGTCACTCTCAATACTGAGACTGCTAGCGCTCCATCTTCAACACTCCTAAGGCAGTGGTTAAATTGAAGCAACTGTCAGCCCTGAAATCTATTTCCAATGCTATTTTCTAGCTTTAGATCCCTGGAGATAGTGCTGCCTGTGTTATATGTATTTATTTCTGCTAGATTCCTGAACAGATTCAACCGGCTTGGCACCAAGTTTATAGGGGCTATGGGCAGAAAAGTGAACGAGTGGCTGTTTTAGCTGTCCAGGATCCAATGCTGCCTCACTTTGGGACAGGCTCTTCATATGTTTTTTGGAAACTAGCTTTGTTTCACTACTGAGTTATCCCAGCCAACCCTGTAATCAGAAATTTGGGGGGGGGGAGCATGATTTATAGCAAAGAGGGCATTTTTTAGCAAGACGTGATGTCTCTATTCTTGGAAATACTCCCTCATTTTGAAGCTTGCCAGTTCTAACAGAGGAATGCATCCTGTTTCCTTCAATTCCTTCCTACCTACAAAATCTTGTATTGAAATATTGTATAACAGTTGTTATAGTCTCTCTCTCTCTCCTTTCCTTTTCCTTTTTTGAGTTTTGCCTTGATATATTTGCACAGATTAACAGAGCTACTTATTTTTTGAAAATGTCTATGCTCTGTTAAAAGTAAATGACTACACACTCTTTCTTGGAAGGGACTACAGGGACCCAAAATATACTGATATGTCACAGAGTAGAGAAATGGTGAAAGGTATTCTAAATTAATCATTGGCCAGAACAATAATTTTTTTTCTGACCTACATTTTTTGTATCTCTTATTAAGAAAGCTGGTCTCTTTCAGCTCCTTTCATGTGCTAGTTTTCTTCATGTACAAACCATATTTAATTTGCAGAAATATCTGATCTAAACTGGAAGAATGTGCTCCAGGCGACAAATATCTAAATTCTGTGCCTTTTCACGAATTTGTTCTTTAGAATGTAGTTCTGTTTGTTAGGGTTTGTACTAAAATGCCTATGAAGACACCACTACACTTGTGACAGACAATGGGTGAGAGGTTTTAATGGAACTCATGTACTCCCTCCTTCCTGTGACAGCCATCTTAGTTTGCAACTTGAGTTTCTTACATGGATTGCCCTCATTCAAAGTTTCCTTTGCTCCTCTTCCCTTGCTGTTATCCTTGGGCTCCCAAGGCAGACCAACAAGGCAGGCAGATGTGGCTAGACAGATGGGAGGTAGCTTCCATCTGCCCTACCCAGTATAGCCCAAGGTGAAGGGAGCTGCATTTCAACAAGAGCTGGAAGGCTATACTTTCCCCATCACTGGAACTGAACGAAAGGCAGATTTCCATCTATTCAGCAGCCTAGCCATGCATTTGGCTGTGTTCCTCAAAAGTGCCCCTCAGAAAGTCTTCTCTCCCAACGTGAGTTGGTCCTACTCTTTCTCTCTCTACACCTTTCATGAGAATAAGTTGAACTTCCACCACTCATGCCCACCCACCCCGACAGCTTTTTCTCATTCTCTGGACATCACGAGACAATTGCTATGGTTTACCAGAAACTGAACATATACAAGAACCATCTTGCTAATACTGTCCTATTGCTTCTGGAGAAATAGCTGTGTTTGACTGTCTCAGTATGTTGGCAAAAATTCCTAAAGCTCGCACAGAAATCTTAGGTTTTTTAAATGGCACAATATTTTGCCTCCCTCTCTCTCTGTTTGCCTTTTCTTCTTCAGTTTTAATAGCATGTCTTAAAGCTTGGAGCAGACACACAGGTGCAGATTAACCATGCTTCTCTTTGATTGGTCCCTTTTTATTCAAGCCACCAGTTAAAATAAAAAGAATCATGATAATCTATGACAAGGAGGGCCCAGGGGCAGATTTTGCAAAATGCCCAAACACTCAAACTATGCTGTTTTTAGCTCGATGGTGCTTCGTTTATTCAGTTCTGTTGGAGAAGAGGCACAAAGGTAAGAGGAGGGTTGAAAGGACAAGGTTCCAGTATATAAATACACTAAAACCTGATGCCAACAGTGCCCCAGCCAGTAGATTAATTATACTTCTGAGACCTCCTCCTAGTTCTGTCTGAGTTGTTCAGGATAAGAGACATCATAATCAGCAGTTCAAAGTTCAGGTCCAGTGTTCTTGTTGAGCTCTAGCTTGGCTGTGTCATTCTGTCAAAAGTGGGTGTCTCCAGTGGTCTGCCATCAGCCACAACATTATCTTCACCATTGGCCTCTATGCATTTCTCTACTGTCTTCAGGACGATCCATAACCTTCTGTCAAGGGCCAACAGGTGAGGTTCTGTGAGGACAGGTGAGAGGTGGTCCTGCAGCAAGGACTCCCGCATGATGTCACTGAGCTTGTAGTCTGGCTGAGCTAACAGCTGCAGCCGCAATAATGTTGTCTCCTTGATTCTAGAGAAAAGAGAGAAAAGACATTGGAGCCTAGCTTTGAAATGTATGATTAGAAGCTAAGACCTAACTGTCTCATAAGTCAAATCTGTCCCTTTGTCACATATGTGGGATGCTGAGTTGTGAAGGTAAGGTACATGGATATATGGTTGGCCTCTGGGTTTCTGAGAAGAAATGGCTCAATATCTCCCGACTATGAGTTTGCAATGTGACTGGTGGATGCACTGAGTACAAAGCAACCCACTGAGGGTTGAACTAGAGCTCATTTTGGCCATGTGATACCACCAACAGAATTCCAGGTCTGACTGCATTCCACTTTCTGACTCCTCTGAATCCTCCTGTGTTCCTTTTATCTCTGTCTTAGTCCTAGAGGTATATTTCGAAACTACAGGCCTCCCCTCGGTAGCCCTCCTGTATTTTGTGTTCTGACCTACTCTGAAAATCAGCTTCTTCAGTATGGTTGATTTCTGTGCTTCCAAAAGACCCTCCTGAAACCAGCCTATAGTGGTAGCAGTGTCAAATCATGACTTAGTGAAGTCAGTGCATGACACTGAGCCCAATTATGCCTGACGTGATCACAAGCAGAGGGAATTCCTTAAGCAAGGGTTGAGTGGGGTTCTCATGACAGTTGTTTCAATCGCTACCATCAGGCCACAAGCACTTTTTCTGTGAGTCTGGTTCTTCAGATATGTGACTTTGATGATTTGCTGATGGGTAATCTTGAATGTAGGGCCATCGTTTCCATTGGTGTTTAGGTGGACTTGCTAACAAAACAGTTTTGGTTACATTTCCTAGGTTAGTCTGGTTTCTCTAGCATACAGCTTGCGAAGCTGAAAAATCCATTTGACCAGAATACACTAATTTATTGTGTGTATTTCAGGCAATGCCAGTTTTGTAATACAACCTGTAAAAAGCCATTATCTATACAAAGTTAGCAGCAAGCCATACTGGGGAGTGAGATACAATAACACAAGAGTTAATGCATCTTCTACAGTAGGTACTGTAATTCGAATTAAATCAGAACTGTATCAACTTCCAAGCCTTTAACGCAGAGGTAAGGAACCTGCCAACCTCAATATGTTGTCAGACTATAGCTCCCGCCAGCCTCAGCTGTCATGGCCAACAAACATGGGAGCTTGCATCTAGCAATATCTTAAGCCCCATATCTTGCATTGTCAGCAGATATGAGCCTGAAAACATGACTGCAAAGGCATGTTTATAATACGTCTGGTGATGCTAGTAGATCCACAAGAATCAACCTTGGGTACATCCAATTCTTCCTCTTAGTTTCTGGGATCTAGTGAAAGTTACTTGTGTAGTGTACTGGTTTGCCGTACAAGAGTCAGTGCAGTGGGATGGCTTGAATGCTGGGCAGTGACTTGCGAAAAATATTTGATTGTTTCCACAGAGCCATGGAATTTACCGGGGGACGTTAGGGCTAGTCACTTTCTCAGCCAACCTGGTATCACAAGCTTGAGGATCAAGCTAAGAGGGCAATTATGTGTGCTCCCTTGAGCTTCTTACAGAAAACGTGGTAATATATTTATAATAAAGAAGTAAATGATATGGGCCAGACAAACAAAAACTACTCTTCCCCATGCCCAGAAAGCTGCTGGTATGCTCCTTGAATGCTCCAAATTCAAGGTGCTAAGGTTAAATTTATAAAGCCCTGTACAGTTTAGATCTTCACTACCCTGACAGAGTGCCTGTCCCTCAGGTTGACCTCTAGTCCCACCTGCACTTCCAGTCATTGATGTTGTGGGTGATCACTTCAAGGGAGGTCCAGAATCTGTCAACTAGAAGCTGGGCCTTCTCCATAATGGCCACATCACTTTGGAACTCTCTTCCAATGGAGTTGTATCAGGCTCCCAGGCTCCTTACCTTCAGGAAGCAAATTAAAAGCTGGCTTTTCACCGCTTTGGAACTCTTTTCCAATGGAGTCGTACCAGGCTCCCAGCCTCCTTACCTTCAGGAAGCAAATTAAAACCTGGCTTTTCACCCAGGCCTTTGAAAGCCTAGCAGTATATTTATTTCGTGAACACCCTTTGAGATTTTCTTTAGAAATGCAGAAACAGAGGACCCAAATTCTCTGCCTTGATTTCAGATACGTGCAGTCTGTGTTCCCCCCCCCTTTTCTGTTCAGATAGGGATAAATAAGTACCAGATGTGGTATTATTATATTTGATAATGCTGTAAGCCCCACCCTGTCTGCATTTAAAATACTGATATAGTAATAGTTTGTGGCTCAGAGGAAGTGGTTATTTCATGCTAGGTGTGAGTGAGTGCCAATTTAAAATCACACATGATTTATTGGCAAGCCTGTAATTATCACCTGGAGGCCCTGCAGAGTGTGAATAACGACTTTTTGAAATATGATGTGGAGGCTCAATATAGCCGTATCACCATTATTGACATCAGGCAGTGGTGGAAATGCCAAGGATTGGTGGTGGCTGAGAAACCTGAAGGCAGCATAGCCCTTAACCCAAACTCTTTAAAGGCCTAGGGCCTTCATTTACTGGAATGCATAAAGAGGAGCCTGGAGAGGATTCAGACAGCATGATTTATTGGCATCCCCCTAAACCGCTCTGGGGAGACACAAATGTAATGGATACATTCAGGTTCTTTCACCCCCTTTGGAAGCCAATAAAATGTGAACGTTCTTGACAGGAATCTGAGGGAAAGCCTCATTTTTCTTAAGCTATGACGAATGGCAGGTTTGAAGGGGAACGGGTGTGTGGCCAAGAGTAATGCATCCAAATCTTGATGTTTTGTGTGCATCGGAGAGATTGGATGTGCCTTTTTAAAGAAATAATTCAGAGAAACGGAATTATTTTGCCACATCTGTCAGTGTCCGAAATAGAACTGCAACTGATCGTGGTGATAGTGGGTTGGGCAAAGCACTTGAAACCGTAACACAGTCACTTGGAAATTTTCCCTTTCCCCCCTTGTCCAAACATACTGAAGTGGGGTGCAGAGATAGGAAACAAAGAGAGAGGACTGCGATGGTGTTTTCGGCATTGGGTGGGAAGAGAATCCTGTGCTAGTGCTTTGGGGCCATGGATGTGAAAGTGTCAAGTTCCTATGGGCACTCTGGGAAAATGTAGCTCCCATAGTTTCCAGCATTGCTTTTTCATTTCAAATGAGATCACCCACCCACCCTGAAGGGCCCCCCCCACACCTCTTGTGGGAAATGGAGAGGGCTTTGGGGAGCTGCCACATCCTAAAACAAATTGGACCTGTTGAACTGAGCCTGCCAAGGACGCTTCATTTGATCAGCCTCAAGTAAACTAGGAACTTGCTTGCTTATCGTGGCTCAGGAAACAATCATTTAGTCTCTCCATTTGGTTACATTAATTTGGAAGGACAGGTACTTACACACAGCACTGTTCCAGGGGAGCCAGAATGGAGATCTCGTCATGGGAATGCTTCCCAAAACTGTGAGAACAACAAAGAAAATAGTAAAGAGTTACCAGGGCAAAGATGTGCCAAATAGCTGGAGATGCCAGGTGTTTTTCATGTGGAAGTGGCCATCAAAAGAGGGTGGTCAATGAGATTTTCATTTGTCTTATAGGGCTTGTGACTGCTTCCCTTTGTATTAGGGCTGTAATTCCTGTCCCATTCCCATGCATGAGAATAAGAAACTGCAGTTTTTCTCTCCTTTCTTGCAAGAGGGCAAGATATTCTAAGAGGGTTCTTGTATTTGTGAAGGTGATTTTTATGCAAATTGTGTAAATTCAGCAGACTATTCCAAAGTACTATCTCTTCTGCCTTGCAGCACAAGATTAGCAGGATCAGACAGGTTCTTTCTTCTCTTTTTTTGTAACAATCAGCATAATCCTTCAGTAATATGTCTGCGTGGCCATTTCCATTTTCCACAAAGAGAAAAGACTATCATTTAAAGTACGTAGAATATTTTTGTGCAAATTAAAGAAACCCTTTGGAGAAAACCACCCCACCAAACCCCGGGCCTTGTCTTGTTCTCACACTGGAAGCAAGAATGCTGGCAAAGACTAGTAATTTTCTTGACAATTTCTTCTCTCAAACAAGGAGTAATTTTGCTAGCATTCTTTGCCTTCTTAATTTGCGCTTGAAAACAGGGTCGCAAAGCAGAAGGGGATAATCACATTGAAAAAGAACAGACCTGTCTGCTTCCTTTTCTGCTCCCTTCCCACTTAGCCTGTCCAGTCCAGGCTTCCTATACCACTGGTAGGGAGCAGAGGTCTTGTACTCCAGATGGTAGCTGCAGGTGGCAATACCTGCAGCCGAGCCTGCAACATCAAGCAGGTGACTGCTAGAAGTGGCTCTGAAAGTCCATCTACAGCGTCAACTGTGAATCTAAGGACATCTAGCACAGCTTTACCTCTCATGTTCCCTCTAACTTCAGAAATCCCTGTTGTCCTAAAATAGAGAGGGACATCTTCCTGCTGCAGGAGGCAGTAACGGATCTCCCCTGCCCCACACTCAATGAGGGGAGTTTGTCCTACTAACATTCATGCAGCCAAAATGATTGGGCCACTGTAGCAGCTTGACATCCACCATAGCAGCTCTTGACAGGATGGTGCCAGAGTGACATCCTGCATCATAGAGCTGGCCCACCATAGCAGCTCTTGACACCATAGCAGCTCTTAACAGAATGGTGCCAGAGTGACATCCTGCATCATAGAGCTGGCAGGGCAGAGTGTCTCCATTTCTGTAAAGGAGAGAATCTTCCCTCTAACCTCCAATGGGGCACTTTTATTGGATGAAACTGCCACGAAAATGGCTTGGGTGTGCATGTAATCCGTGGAATATGTTACCTGCTCCACCTTTTTTTAAAAAAGGGGGGGCAATGGTTGGGTCTCCTGCTTGCCTAAATTGTCTTTTAAAAAGTTACAGCATCTCTCCTGCACTTGCAAGTCAGTAGTTCCCTCATTAGCTACCCTATAATGATCTCAGCAGAAATTGCTGCCTCTTAGCAAGCTGCTGTTTTCTGTGCTACAGGTGCCCAATTTTAACCTAAAGGGCAAAAAAAAAATTATGAGAAAATTACACAGCCAACTCCCCCTTCCCCACATACTATAGTCCCAAGCTCATTGGGGGGGGGGTCTGTCTGCATACTTCCATTTTTTAAAACATGCTACAGGTGCCCAATTTTAACCAAAAGGGCAAACAAACAAACAAACAAATGAATAAACAAACAAATAAATAAATAAATGGCACAGCCAACTCCCTCTCCCCCACATACTATAGTCTCAAGCTCATTGGGGGGAGGTCTGTCTGCATACTTCCATTTTTTAAAAAGTTGTGGTCCTTCATCTCTGACGACTAAATTATTTTGGCACCCTGAGGCATTTTATGAGAGGGCATGGGGAAACAGATGATAAATGATTACTGTGGCGTTCAGCTCTGCTCTCACCTGTCCATCACTGCTGGGCAGGGGAACCTCAGCCAATGAGAGGACGGAGGGTGGTGCAGAAGTGGGAGGAGCTGGCTGCATACTTCCATTTTTTAAAAAGTTGTGGTCCTTCATCTCTGACGACTAAATTATTTTGGCACCCTGAGGCATTTTATGAGAGGGCATGGGAAAACAGATGATTAATGATTACCCAAACCATTTTACAGAATTAAACCTTCCTACTTGACTGCCCGTTACATTTGGCTCATCACTGCTGGGCAGGGGAACCTCAGCCAATGAGAGGACGGAGGGTGGTGCAGAAGTGGGAGGAGCTGGATTATATAAGGTATGTGTGATGTGGGAGATGAGATCAGTTTGGAAGATGAGTGATTAGAGTGATTGATAGAGTGAGAAAGTGCCTGTCAGTGAGGGAAAAGTCTGTGTGAGCTAGTGTCTGAGAAACAGTGATTGTCAACTTGATTTTCTAACAGTGATTTACTCCTTTTATTTTGTGTAATCAATAAACATTTTTATTTGTTTGAAAGAAACACTTGTCCTTTTGATTTTAAGGATAGGTTGGTGGCAGAAGTTTTGGTGAAAGGTAGTGAGCACTCTTAGAGGCCTGGATGGGTAAAGGCTTGAGAGTGGCCTGCTACAATTACCCAAACCATTTTACAGAATTGAACTTTCCTACTTGACTGCCCGTTACATTTGGCTTAGAACCAAAGCAAGGTGTCTATTTCAAATGGTTAAAAGTATATCAGTACATATTTTATTTTCAAATTAGCTTATTTTTGTGCTTGGCAAAATATATACTGTATACAGTACTATGGTTCTAGTAGCTGGCACTGTTGTGTAGGTTCTGAGCTAATGAATAGCCTGAAAGTAATTTTTAGGTAAACACTGGTGCACTAGAGCTGGGCCACTGAATCAATGAGAATTTTGCAAATCAATTCCACTGGAAGTTCCATTAATTTGAATGCAGGTCACTATGTTCAGCGACAGGGATTCAGCCAGAGTGCTAACAGGTTGGTATGAGAGATGGTTGAAGAGATATGATCAATAAATACACATAGGCTGAGTGCTGGAATGATTGGCGGAAGAATTATAGAATGCTGAATACCAGCCTGAATGCTGATTGGTTGATGTGGTGGAACATGAGAGTTGAGAGAGAGAAAGAGAGAGAGATGTCTAGTTCAGTCTGTCTGGAGAATCTGTGTTCTTTTGAAGAGTTAGTGAGGAGAAAGGTGTTAAGGGGGAAATGGGTTGTGTGGTGACTATTGAAATAGCGAATTCTAAAGTTAAAAGATGAAACAGTAGATGATAAGGAAGTATACAAATATATTTAAAAGATAATATCTATTATCCTTGTTTTTCCACTTCAATTTTGATTGATAAATTTATCCTTACTCGCCTGCCTTTCTTATACCTGATTTTCCTCATAAATTGCTTTTGTTTGATTCTTAGGGGGAAAAAGCCCTTATTATTCATTTATAAGACACACTTTAAAAATACTTAGAAGCCAGAATAAACAAGCAAGAATTACATCCAACTCACATCAATACCAACACTTGAATAAGGAAAAGACCAAGCTTACGTTAGAAATCTTTTCACTTAAGAGCTACATAATAGAAATCCGCAAGAGGGGCTGGAAGGCTCAGACTGATTAGCACAATCAAGGGACAACCTCAGACGCTATGGACAGGTTTGTGGCTGGTTGCCCTTTGGGCTAACGCCTAACCTAGTGGCATTGAGAAGAGGTGGCCAGGTTTTGAGGCGAAGGTACCAGAAGCGCCCTGCAACTCCCTGGTGAGCGTGTAACTCACTAGAGAATGATAATAGTGAGAAGGGACACCTCGCAGGGGACACCACAAAAGACTATGCCACTATTTGTGAAAAACTGTGTCCACCTAAAACGAAGCTCCAGCAGAACAATGTATTGTTTGACTTCCCCCCCTTCAGCTCTTGGAGCTGCTCAGAAAGCTGCTTGAGGGGGCTTCCCACCCCTCTGTAGCAAAGTGTTTGGGGTGGCAGGTAAGAGCTGGGAGCGGAGATTTCCATCTCCGCCTTGTGCTGATGAATCAGTTCCATCAGTGGACGTACTCCATGGGATCCTACGGAGGACGTTTCCACTGTGTATTCATAAGATGCCGATCTGTGCATTAGGTTGCTTTATGGAAAACTACAAACCTATAGTTGAAATACCCTGATTCTTGTACTTGATCTATAAACCCAGAGTTAAAGCATACTGACCGAACTATCCACTGTAGTTCAGTCAGTATGTCCAGAATTCCCTAGCATGGCTATAGCTCTCCTATCCTTCCTCCCCCCTCCCCCCAAAAATATAAAACAAAATACGACACTTCCCAGGTTCCTTGGTAAGAACAGTTAAATCCAGTTGATAAGTTAAACACAGTCTTTTAGTTTACTGCTGTACAGTGGCCATCTGAGACACATGGATTTCTGTTAATATTTTAACATGACTTTTAAACCAAGCCAGGATGTGCCTGAGATTAAACCAGATATTAAGGGGAATGTGTCTTTCTTCTAATCAACTTAGTTTTCTTTTGAAACAGGCATTCCCTCATTAGCTCAGAATCCACAGTTGTGCCGGCTACTAGAAACAATATACCCTTGCAAATTATGCTTGTACTTAACCTGCCAGTGCCAAATCACAAAACAAAGCATGCTAAAGACGAAATATATAATTGAGAAAAAGGGTAAGTTATGATAAACTGAGACAGCATCTGGGTCAGACGCAGAAAGCCCGGAAGAGACAGGTCACCTGGAGAACACCTTACCCTCTTGCATTGTCCAGGTGGAGGAAAAAGCCATCATCCCCAAATTTGGTGAACATCTCATAATGATGGCGGTCCATGTTGCCTTTGAAAGAGAAAAAGAGACATAGTTACTAGTCCCCAAGAGCTAATCCAAAACAACCACCTGAGGGCGTCTGTGCATAAGGATATATCCAAGGTATGCCAGATGTTCATAATTGCTTGGTTGGAATAAGAACACCTGAGCAAGAGACACTGATAACATAAAGAGCGGAATTGCTGCAAGCTTTTGAGTTGCAGTGAATTCTTCTGGCTGGATGTTCAGGGCGTAGCTACACAACTGATTCAGTGAACACCCACTGATTTAGTGTGTGATTACATAGGGAAATATATTGCAATTTGGTCTGCTTGTAGAGAGGCCCAGTGCAATCTATTTCCCAGCGACCACACAACATACAGTAACAGAGAAATTCTCTCCAGCCTGACCCCAATTCATGCCTAAGACAGACCTTTTTTGCTCATCTCTAGAGCTACTCCTTTTTGGAGTGCTTCCCCAGTAGACAAGAAGATGCACTATAAGGGAGATTGCTTACATGGCAGCGATTCTTTCCAGCGTGATTAGATGTCTTGCCTTTGCAGTCATCAGATCACACCTTTACTTGTACTCTTATTTGTGGGCTTCCTCACAGACAGCCAGTTGACTACTCTGGGAATAGAAGGTTGGACCAGATAAACCCTTTGGATCTCATCTGGCAGGGCTCTGCTTTTACTCAGCATACACTGATGTGTCATGTTCAGTTCTACAGCATGGGCTGAAGTCTTAGCTGACCTATCTCATGCGTTTGGAGGCATCTGTCGTATGAGGTGATGTGCAGATGCTATGCTTTGACTTCATACATAACATATGCGTTAATGCACTGAATGTCACAATGGCAAACCTCTGGAGGGAGTTGTAATCCAAGGTCATCTGGAGGGCTACACCATCCCTACTCCTGTTCTCTGAGCTAGGAGAGCCTTCCCCTTCCAAACTCCTGCTGGGCTACAGCTTCCATCATCTTCAGAGACCATGTTCAAATGGCACGCTACTTGGTGAGAATGGGAGTTGTAGTCCATTATACTTGGCAGAGGACTCCAGGCTGGGGTAAGTGTGGCAATAATGGCTGTCAATGCAATCCTGTGCACATTTAATCAGAAGTAAGTTACTAAAGTCACTTGGACTGCAGTCTGTTTTTTGCTGCCCCTTGTTAGCATTGCATTTTGCGGTCAAGGAACTGCCAGCTCTCTACAATCCAGCAGGAAACCACTGTTACAGGGGAGGTTATTCATCATTATGGCATGTACGCAAGAATCTTTATGAAGACTGGGATTTGCAACTGTTTAATGAGCCTGAAGTGGCTAATAAGGACAAATCCTCCCTTCCTGTGGCTGAAGTGCTAGAAAGTGAAATAATATGGTTCTCCTGATGATACCACCGCTTTTTATTGGCATTTTCAGGGCTGACAAAGTGGCAGTCCACTCTCCGCCAACAGCAGTGGCATAGAAACCTTCCTAGATTATAAAACTCTTAAAAGATGCTTGTGTTCCTTTTTGCCCTTAATCCACCTCAGATGATGCATGATGGGATGTAGCAGGAAAACAACCCCGCAGAGTTACTTTTCACTGGATACGAAACGGTGTGCGCTGACGCATGGTTGCATAGATAGAATTTCTACAGTCACTGCTGGAAAAAGACCCCCTCTGGGCTTAAAACAGCTGCTGCCCCGGGAGGTGGGCAAACCTCGTAAAATTGCTTCACTTACCCGCAAGAGAACATGGAGAGGCATCTTGTTGTAGTTCAAAAATGGGTGGGGTGGGGCATGAGCACTAGTCTAGTGGCGTGGGGGTGGGGGTTTTCCCTTCAGCCCTAGGAAGTGAGCTTCGTTCATCCTGAGCAAGACTGAGATGCCAACAAAATCTAACAGCCTTGGCAAACGCCACCCCAAATCAGTGTCAGCATGGTACTGCAGATGTGGCTGTCTGTTAGTGTAATCCTGTCTAATTAACTTGTTTATTTCATTAGACAGCACGCAGAGGTGGGACAAAATACTTTGGTGTCCTTGTGTTCTGGGTTTTGATTACATCCACTACCCTCACTTCCTGCCGCTAGCATTGTAAGGAAAATTCCTGTTGGTTTCGGCAGCCAAGGGCAAAGGAACCCCAGATATCATGGGGTGAGCTCTTCCCCCTCGCCCTATCCTGTAACCACTGTAGAGAGGAAATGTTCTACATGAAAGTCTTAAGTCTTTGGAAGACTTATACTGTGGTGGGCGCAGAGTGATTCCCCCAAGGAAATGTTTGCAACCTCCAGGACACTTTATGGCCTCCTCCCCCTGGAGGTCAAGGAAATAATGGCAATGACAGCATGGTACTATTATCATTATTTAAAAGTCTCCTTTTGGAGACTTCTATAAGCAGCAGTTTTAATATAAAGCAGGTCGACAGGCTTACTCCATCCCCCAAACCTTAACCTCCTCGCATTTGTTTCACTCATTTCTTCGTTTGCTTGTTCATTTATTTGCATTTGACGTTTTCTGATATTTTTGGACCTGATACAGTAAATATTTACCCTCCTGGCATGCCTGCTATAGTTGTCCTGTCCTAACATATGCATTTCTGCTTTGTAAAATTCTCATCAAAATAAAAGCAGAAGATACTCCTGATGTGCTTTAGTACTACTGGGTAAGGACTTGGAAACGAGTTAACAGAAAGAACGTCGGAAATATTAACTCTTGTAATGAAGGGAAGAGAGCCAGAATAAATAAAAAGTATTGGTATAAAACAAAAAAAAAGGTGGTATGGGTTTACCAAATGCAGTATAAAGAATTATTATTTGGCTAATTAATTAAGGTTTATTGGAGAAATTATATATAATAAAGGTTATTAATCAGAAAGGTTAATTTGGTGCAAAATGGAATCATCAGAATTACAGGAAGATATTGAAAAATACCTATTTGGTATGGTCAAGAAATATAAAATAAGTGAAATAAATAATCCATTTTTAAAGACAATGTTAAATATATGGTATATAGAAAGAATTTATGTCCATTTAACTCTCAGCTAGGATTAGTGACTGAAATAGAGAATTTTCCTGTCAACATGAAAGTGTATGTGGAATTATTTAAAGAAAAGAAGTGATTAGATTGAAAGACTGGTTGTATAAAATGAGATCGAAAGATCAAATGAAACAAATCCTTCAGAATAAGAATATTTCATGGTTGAATTATATGCAGTTAGAAAGATGGACTAATTAATGGGTAAAGAAATATAACAAAGGTAGAGAATACATGAAGTATGAACAATTTCTTTTATCATATGAAGACATTCAGATGAGTGATTCAGTATAGGATACAGTGAGTAAAATTTATGGATTCCTGCTTGACTTAGAAGAAGAAAGTGAGAAAGAAGGATTGATGTTAGTGTGGGAACAAGATTTTGGAAAAAGAATAAATGAGGAAGAATGGAGGAAGATGTGGAAAATGAGGGTTTTAAGATGTCACTGAGAATAAGAGAATTTTTTTTTAAATTGGGCTTAAGATGGTATTTAACACTGACAAAATTAAATAAAATTAATGCTAGTTATCTGAATGTCAGTTGGAAATGTGAGAAGGAAATTGGTACATACTTTCATATGTGGTGGGAATGTGAAAAAGTACAAAGATTTTGGAAATTAATCTTTAAAAAACAAAAACAACATATGTGAAAAAGATATAGAATTTAATCCTGAGATAGCTTTGTTATCAATATTTGAGAATGTGGAATATGATGACTAAAGAATTGATTATCAATTTATTAGTGGCAGCTAGATTAATAATAGGTAGGCAATGGAAATCAAAATCTGAATTTCGAATGGATTAATGGTATAATGAAATATGGAATATAGCTATAAATGATAAGCTAACTTGTAATTTAAAGGTTAAGAAAGGAGAGTTGAAAAAGAATACTTTTTATGATATATGGGGCAGATTTTTGGAACATATTTTAACAGTTCCAGAGAAGAGGGCAATAAAAGAAGAATATAGATGGAGGAGGAAGAAGATTATTGCAAGAGGTTCCATCTATGGTGGTGGGGAACACAGTTAGTTAGTATTTTGGTTTATATATTTTATATTTATGTTATAGTTAAAATAAAAGAAATTTCAAAGAAAGGGGACGTGACACTACACTGCAAATTCACAAGGGAAGCCCTTTAAACAAAGATTTGCACACTTTTTGAAGTGCTGTATAGTTTTGAAATTATTCTTGCAAAGTTTTCTAAGCAAGCAACATACAATATATTTATACTTACACTGCTATTTAAATGAGACCACTGAGAAGTACCTTGCTAAATAAATAAAGAAAGAAAGAAAGAAAGAAAGAAAGAAAGAAAGAAAGAAAGAAAGAAAGAAAGATATCATCACCACGGGGAGGGGGGCTATGATAACTTCCTCAATGGCTCAAGGGGGCGTTTCTTTCAAAAAGGTTAAGAACCACTGAAATATGGAATATAGCTATAAATGATAAGCTAACTTGTAACTTAAAGGTTAAGAAAGGAGAGTTGAAAAAGAATAAATTTTATGATATATGGGCAGACTTTTGGAATATGTATTAGCAAGAGGAAAAGGGAAAGCTCCAAATCAAGAATCAATGCAGTTCTGGAGAACAGGACAATAAAGGAAGAAGAAGAAGAAGGACAGAGGAACAAGAGGATTATTGCAAGAGCTCCCAACTATGGTGATGGGGAACACAGTTAATTTGTATTTTGGTTTATGTATTTTATGTTTATGCTATAGTTAAATAAAAAATAATAAAGGAAACATTAACTCTTTTTCTGTATTTACTACTGTGTTCCCAGGCCAGCTGGAATCTACACAGCAAGGGTCTTTTGCAGTCTTCCAGATAGCATGTCAAATTAATGAGATTAGTTGTTATCCAGGTGTTTCCCACATACCTATTAAGAAGTCAAAGATTGCCATGTCAATGATATTGAGTAGCCGGCTGCCACTGCTGTAAGGATAAATCTCCTTCACTGTATTGCAATAAAGTGGATTCACTTCCCATCTGTGGAAAATATCAAAGGGGACAGTGGTTGGTCCTCAGCACTAGCACTTTCCACATTCATTCACTATATTTGGAAATAATTGGCACCCAGTGTGGGAAGTAACTGGCAACCTTTTATTGCAACAGCCTATGGTGAGGATATCTAAAGTTTTTTTTTGAGTCAGTACCACTCTCCTGCAGTAGTGGCCATGTGCTTCCCCACTATCAATGCACCCAGTCGCAATCTGTCTTGCCTTGGCAAACAACAAGCAAATGGAGCCATATGGTTGTAACTGGATGTCTGCTCCTCACCTCATAACAGCTTGCCTTTACCCACCACTTTAAATCTCAGCCCCAACACAAACACTTAACACTTTGTAATGTTCCATTATTATGCTGAAAAAGGTATCATATGTTGAGCTCCTAAAAGTTACTATTATACTGTGATTATGAAATCTGCTGCTAGTAATTACTTCATGGGTACCAATGGTATTCAGGGAGTAAATTTAAGAGGAAAAGCAGGGCTAAATGCGGTCGTCGTCTAGTCGTTCACTCGTGTCCGACTCTTCGTGACCCCATGGACCAGAGCACGCCAGGCCCTCCTGTCTTCCACTGCCTCCCGGAGTTGTGTCAAATTCATGTTGGTTGCTTTGGTAGGCATGTTCAAATGCCATGTTGTGCTACATAATGCAACACAAAGTAGCACTGGACTTATAGCAACTTTAATAGAGATTTCAAGGTATGTGCAATATTTAATGAGTGGTTTTACCAGTTCTACCTCTCCAGTGAGTTTTCATGACTGAGTGAACCCAGGTATTCTGTCTTAGTCTGTCACCCTGTCCACTCTACCACATTGGCTCATAAATGCCACAAACACCTACATAAGCATATGGTTCTTTTCCTCAAGAGCTTCTGTGGCATTTGCCAGGATTCCCTCCACATTGTCTAGGATCATTGTCAGCCACTGTCTCATAAGTGAAATAGGATGATGGCCTTGGGTACTCTACTAGACTTAAGAGGCAAGTGAATATTTTAATTCACTGCACCAACGATGGCACTAGAATGGTTCTGTAGCTTGATTAGCTTAAATACAGTTTGTTGCCCATAATAGAACAAATGGCTGAAAATTTACAAATACCTCTCCCAGCAATAAAATTATGACTACAACCACAATACCTCAAATAATCAAGAATCTGATGCTTTTTGGTGACACCCCAAATCAGCTGCTTGTGGCGTCCACCTCACTTTACCTAACAGAAGGGTGAGTCATGTTAAACAGACCAAAGTCCTCTGTCAACATAGCCAGAGAGACACACTGACATAGTAGGCCTTAGTTTCTGTGTGCCTTTATCCTTCTGTTTGTTGCACAACCCCTCATTCAACTGACCTGCTGTCCCACGAGGGAACTGCTGTGGAGACCCATAAGTGCTCCAAAACCAAACAGCTTTTCCAAAGGGAGTGGGGTGAGAGGGTCAAAAGTCCCATTGGCTGCACCCAAAGGAGCTTTTCAAATCCTGCTTTGGTGCCACAGAGAAGAACAAAGAAGTCACCAGTGACCTTGTCTTCTTGCCCTGTCCTTATCTCTAGGTGATTAGCCTCTGGAGGGTTGGAATTCTTTCCTGAGTTCTGAGGCTTGCAAGATGACCTAACTGCTCGGTGTGTGTGTGCTATGTTTGCTTAAAGCACCACCCCCCAGAAAAAACCCAGCTAGTGCCCTCCAGATGCTTTGGTCTACAATTTTCATCCTCCCGCGATAAGCAGCATGGCTAGTCATGCTAGCTGGGGATTAATGGGAGCTGTATCTCAAAGGCATGTGTGTAGGGAAGGCTGGATTGCAGTAACACAACAGTACCTTTCATTGGCCCATAAGGTTCCTATGAAGGCCTATTCTCTACTATTCATTGTAGCCAACATGTTTTCAAAATCCATTCTAGCTGCTGGCAACGAGTGTACGGATTAGTTGGGTTTTTTTTCTGATAAAGGGAGCAGCAGGTTGTTTCCCAATGTTCTATAGAACAGTGGTCCCCAACCTTGGGCCTCCAGATGTTCTTGGACTACATCTCCCAGAAGCCTCCACCACCACCTCTGCTGGCCAGGATTTCTGGGAGTTGAGGTCCAAGAACATCTGGAGGCCCAAGGTTGGGGACCACTGCTATAGAAGGGACAGTGCTGATATGCTTGCTAGGAATATGGAATATGGTACTTTCACCTGTAAGAAACTATTTTATCTATTGTTAAGGACAGGGTTGTCTCTCACACAAAAGATTATCTCTCCCCCCCGGGTCATGACACAGAGGAAGGTTCTGCCAGCAAAGAATGCCAGGATCTCAGTCCCCCCAAAACCCTGTCCACTTTATCCCATCTCTGGCTGGGAGATTGTGTCTTTTCCCTGCCTAGGACTCACCATGGCCCAGCGCAAGGGACTGCATGGATGTGCAGAGGTTTTGTTCTAGCTTTTGTTTATATGGAAAGGCTCCTCCACACAGACAGTACATTCCCTCTTTTGTACCCTCCTGCACACTGGAGGATACTGGCATTTCCCCCCAGCAGGCAGACGAGGCAAGTCTTATAATGATATCAACAATGACCGAGTGCAGCAACTCCCCTGGTTTCCTGTTTTTGTTTTAAATACCACCTCCTGCAGGTTTCTGTTTGTTTGTTTCTATTTTTATTGCAGCAGAGTTCAGGAGGCCACTTCTTCTCCAGCTGGGAGCCTTCCGTTCAGTGCTAAGCTAGTAGAAAATGAACCACCACCACCCCTCAAATTCCCGCAATTACAGGTGCAAGACATCTCTCCAGGCAAGCACTGGCAGAAAAGCAGGGAGAGATACATTGCTGAGGAATACGGAGTGGATGGCGATGGAACAGGGGGAGTCAAATGGCTTCAAGTGAATGGAGTCAAATTCCAAAGTGGGGCAACATAGAAAACATGAGGTCCTGCCTGTTTTGTGTCTCTCTCAGTGATTCCCTCAGACATCCTCCTTCGCCCACCTCTCTCCTCTCCCTCCTGCTCTGCAACTGTGGCTAGGCACGGGTGTGTCTCCCACTCCTTCTCCACTGTAGAGGGCTTCCCCTGGAAGGTTTCACATTGGTACTAATCTACTAAAGCAGCAATGAAGAGGAACTGAGAGCCTCCCTGCTTAGCCTCCTCTGAGTGACTCCTCAAGATGGCCACTTTCTTTTTTCCTTCCTTATTTTCCCTCTTCCTCCTGCTCCAAATCTGTGTGTGCGCGCGCTTTGTGATAACTATTCTTAAAGCAAAGGAACCCAAAACAAAATAAAGATCCTGAGGGGAAGGTCAGTTTCTTCAAGCTTCCTGAAAATTTGTTTTGAACCATTCTTTGAGAAGATGCCAATTTTCTCTGCCTCGGCCATAGTCCCAACAAAACCTGGTGTCCTTTGCATTTCAAGGGAAGCCCTTACAGGCACCAGTGGAGGATTTGCTTGAAATGGAACTACAGTAGCAGATTCTGAGACAATTTTTGTCCTTTTTGGGGGGGGGGCGTGGCATGGAGAGAAAAAGGCAAAAGTCTAGTTCTTGATGACCCTGGAACTGTATAGAGTTTTTCAGCACCAGCCCAAAACGTGCATATTATAACAGCACTTGCTTGGCAGAAGGTTGGAAATGCTGAACTAAAACTATTATCGTCTCTGGCCAGCACAACCAAGGGCATGGGGTTCATGGGAACTGTAGTACAGCTCACAGAAAAGACACAAAGATGGAGAAAGCTAAAATCCAAAGGAAAACAAACAAACTCTTGTGTGTTGAGCAGGACTTTCTCCCAGGAATGTGTGCATTGCTCGCTTTTCCTAACCATAAAATGGAAATACTTACTGACCTTTGAAGGGCTGGGATGCTCCATAAAGAGCCCCATGGCATGTGTTTTAAAAGTACTGTATCAAACGGGAATTGCTGTTAGGTAAAGAGAGAGAGAGAGAGAGAGATCCATTTACCCACTTACTCCTCTTTTCCAGCAAAGGTGTAGGATCGGATCCATGGATTGGGGACAGAGAGTCTTGGCGCCAAGTTGAGGGATGGCAGGAAAGCAGAGAGGGATCCTTCCAGCATGTGGGGGTTGCCGCAGACGGCATATTCCGTCTTGCACATATAAGGGCACTTGGCAAAGAAGCAGACGTTGCTGGCTATGGAGAGAGCAGGACATGTTAACAGCAGCATGGCTTCTCTGCTTCCAGTCATGTCGGAGTGAGGACGATACATTCCCTTTTCCTGGCAATTTGACTTCAGTGGCCCACTTCTAATGGGGCAGACCTCCCAAGCAAGCAGCCTGTGTGTAAACTGGCACACATACAAATCATCTATGCCTTATTTCAACAGCATGTGGACTCTGCGAGAAACTGTAGCTTTCTCACAGAACTCTCAGATCAACCAGTTTCCATGCACATCTGCAGGGGACGCAGTACATGTTTGTGCAGTCACCACACCCCACTCTCTGTTGTGATACAACAACTTCTTTTTCAATGCAGATCGAGGGCCCTCGACCTGCAGCACCAGGAAACAACAAAGCTTCTCCTTTGGGCACCCAGTGCAGATGAAACTTACCTGGTGAAATAAAAAAGACACTTTGCAGGAGTTCGTTCTTAGTGATCTCCAATATTTCCTTTGTTATGTTAATCATTCTCCCAACCACAGGAGGGACACGCCGAAAATCGAGGATTCTGGAGGGAGAGAGAAGTGTTTGCTCAGACTAAATGTAAGAAGCAGGTCTGTTTTGCTATGAGAGAGGGGGGGTTCATCACTTCCATTCAGTTTTAAATGAACACACTTCCTGAACCAGGTCTGCTCAACTCATCCCTCATGTTTCGTAATTTATAGCGTAGGCTTCTACCCAAACAGGGTTGCCCTCTTAGGACGTCACAGGAATTCAGGGCTGGACATACACATAAGCCTGCCCCCACCTTCCTCCTTCCAGACAGACCTTGGAAGGTCCATAGTGGAAGGTCTATAGTAGACCATATAGGTGTGTGCAGTTGAATGTGCTTTACAAGTGTCTCTTCAGGCCTCTATCTGCCACCTGAACTAGGAAAGCACGCAGCACGGGAGGGAATGGCTTCAGGACAGAGGGACTCTGAGAGGAGAGTCCTTGTGGGCCAGATTGAGACTGGCTGCAAGCATTATGAACTGGAACGAGAGCTTGGGTGCTTGAAGTACTTTCCTCCCCCAGCTTCCCTATTTCCTCTGAGGTTAGCTATTACCCTCACATAATTTGGGAAAGGAATGCTTTTTCCAACCCCCTGCTCAATGCAGGAATACAAATCAAAGGATATCTGCCAGGTGCTTGCCTAATTTTCTCGTCAATACCTCCAGTGTTGGAGCACTTGCCACCTTTTAAGGTAAGTGGTTCCATTGGCACACTGCTCAGTTAACAGTTAAGAAGTTTTTCAGCCTAAATTTGGTTTCCTGTAACATGAGCCCATTATTATGCACCCTGCGCTCTGGAATGATTGAGAACAGTTCCTGTTCCTCTTTTTTATGACTACCATTCAAGAATTTGAAAAGTGCTATCATATCTCCCCTCGGTCTTCTCTTCCCAAGGCTAAACACACCCAGTTCTTTCCATTTTTCCTCATAGGTTTCCAGTTATCTGGTCATCCTTGTTGCTCTCCTTGGAACTTGTTCCAGTTTGACAACGTCCTTTCCAGATTGCGGTGTTCAGCACTGGACACAGTACTCCAGATGAGGCCTAATCTCCGCCAAATAGAGGGGAACTAGTATCTCATGGGATTTGGAGATTATACTTCTGTTAATGCAACCTAAAATAGCATTGGCCTTTTTTGCAGCCACATTACATTGTTGGCTCATACTGTATTCAGCTTTTGATCCACAACAATTCCAATATTCTTTTTACTCGTAGTATTACTGAGCCAAGTATCCTCCAATTTTTAACTGTGCATTTGTGTTCCCCCCCTAAGGTTTGCACTTATCCCTGTTCAAGTTCATTTTTTTTGGTTTCCAGCCTATTGCTCAAGTCTATGAAGATATCTGTGAATTGTGTTAATACCTTCAGAGTATTAACTAATTCACACAAATCTCATAAGTATTTGCTGCACTCTGTTATCCAAGTCATTAATAAAAGTGTTGACGAGCACTGGCTCAGGACCGAACCTTTTGGTACCCCACTTGTTACCTCCTCTGTTTGAGAAGGAGCCATTGATAAGGACTCTGTTTCATTCTGTAACCAACTGTGTATCCATCTGACACTTGCCTTATCCAGCCCACAGCTAGTTAGCTGCTAATCAGAATATCATGAAGCACTTTGTCTAAGGCTTTGCTGAAATTAAGATATATTATGTCTACAGCATTTGAGGGTGGTTTAGTCTTGAATAGGCAGTTAAGAGTCATTAATCTGACAAAATATCTGCTCCTCATTTGTTGACATGAGCTGATCTAGAGGCCTGAGTTTTTGGACTCTTGAAGGAAGGAAACTGACTACAGGGATTGTCATGAAATGTATTCTCACTTTCAAATTCACCACTACACCACCATCTGCTGGTTCAAAGTTTCCCTCCCTTGCTCTAAGAAGATTATTATGTAGAGATCAAGAGTTCCCCCCTATGAGTAGGTATCTATAGCTGCTAGGCTCAATGGCTATGCACAGTATCTCTGTATCAGCTGGTGTTTACCTCTTAATACCAGGGTTAAATGAAACAACACTCTTAGCTTCTGTAAATGCTGGGAGACCTCTTTGATCTAGTAGGTCCTTTCACTCAGTGCTTTACTTTATATTCCCAGAAGCTTTGTTTTGTGTTGATCAGTGAAGGATAAGCCCAGGTTTTGGATGAAACTGTCTAGGTTTTGCATCTCTTCGGAAACTATGTTGTGGGAGGAAAAAGCTGACTATTGGCAGGTTGTAGGCCTGATCCCAAACATCTAGTTTGAACCTGCCTCTTCTCCCCCACCCTTTTTGCTGGTGAACATGAGCAGAGCAAGTAGTTCCATTCATGGAATCAGTCCCATCCGAGCATCTGTTTGGCCATCATGAGAAACAAAACCCTGGTCTAGAGTGGGCTTTTGTTCCTAGCATAGCTTTTCCAGCTTGCAACATCTTGGAAGATCCTTCAAAGTGGGAGCAATTTCTCCTGTCTAGGCTGATGCATTCCACAAAATTTACAAAATGGTTCCTTGGGGCTTATTTCCTCAGCAAAACAAAACATCATCGGTTAGTGAGTCAGCAACCACCAGGCAGACTGACTAAATACTGGCACAGATGCCTCTTAACATGCCCCCAAGACAGCTGGGAAGGGCTCTTTAGCTGGTTGCTTTCTGAACATCAAAGCCAACAAAGAAAGATACTGCCTGGGCTCCAGCTCCAGCTCAAAGGAGCCCCCCCCCCCCGTATGTCAGGCACTTGACAGGTAGCAAACCCAGGAGGTGGGTGGAGCCCTTGCCTGCTGCCACCTACACAGCTACTGCTTGCGTTTTGCTTAGCGGGGAAACATCTCTCACACACCTGAACAAGCACCTGAAATTGCCCAGTTCAATTCTCAAGTTTTGTTTAAAAATGGGATTCCAAAATTGAGATAATTGAAACCAGGGGCATGCAATGTATCCTGTGGAGGTGAGATGTCTATAGAACAAGGAATACTCTTTGAAAATAGGACATGTCTACCCGACCAGGCTTCCTCAAAGGTATTGGACTACAACACCCATCACTTGCAGTAAGCACAGCCTGTGGCCAGGATTGATATATTATAATCTGACACCTTTATAGGACACCAGGATGGGAGCACCTGACACACACTATTAGAGCACGTCATTTGAGAACTCCAACGGACCATTCAATACCAATGAAATACTATTTGAAAATGGGGGGAATGTGCCATTGGAAAAAACGGTTGTTGTATGAGCATCAACAGCACCCACGCAGCTTTTTGGAGGCAAGAGTCATGTCTGAAAGGCATCACTAGTATGTTCTCTGCTCCTTTGGGCAACCACAGGTCTATGCCATTTTAAAAAAACTAATTATAGATTTTTAAAGGGTTATTTATATTTACGGTTTACTTAATGCCTGTTGTATTGCCTATTATTTTTGAATGATTGTTTTTTTTCCTATTGGGGTTTGAGAGTTGTTAAGTTTTAATTTTGTAAATCACCCAGTGTACTGCTTGCACTAATGGGGCAGTATGTTGACTGACTGACTGACTAAATTAATAAATGAATGAATGAATTCGACAGTGCATGTTTGCATACGAAATTCTCCTGTGCGATACAGAGATGACATATGGTTTCACATAAGGTTGCCAGGCCCCAACTCAGAGAAAACAAATCCACCTTCAAATTATCAAACTGATAATGAGGCACCTCTGGGCCCACCCCCCGCTTTGTAGGGAAAAGGAGAACAGCCTTGTAGTCCAGAGAACCTGGGGACAGCCCCCCACTCTTTGGTATTCCATTTGGGCATCTCCCTCTGTTCCGCCTGCCCCATTCATCTGGGGGTAGAGAAACCATGTTCTCACATCCAAGAGAGCAGGGAGCAAGCGGCATGATAGGACTCGAGGAATAAAGGCTAAGAGAAGAGCCTAGAAATCAGTACCTGCTGATGGCAATGGAAGAAACCTGCACACAGATGGAGAAAAGTTTCTGAACTGTTCACTGTCTCTGTTTCTTGCAAGGGAGTCGGAAAGCGTGCCTCTTTGGCCGAACTCATGTCTGTAGCTTAATCCAAGCCAAAACGTTCAGTTCGTTCCTTCTTGGTAAGCAAAGCAGCCCTGCCATGATGCAGCAAGCCAGGTGTGCACACAACAGGGATGCTTAGTTTACTAGGGAGGAAAAAAATTCAACAGTTACAGTACAATTTGGCATATGCTAAGCAACAGGATTTCAGCCTTTAGATTAGTGGCTAGACAGACGTAAACAGGCCTATGGTCCCATCCTGTACAGATCCTTTTAAGTTCAGTTCGAGAACTCATTAAAGTCATGATCCAGGTGTCTAGATCCCCTATCATAAGCAGTCTCTTCTTTTGACATGCATGGAAGAGGCAGTGTGGTATAGTGGACAGAGTAATAGACTAGGACTCAGGAGACCTGGATTCAAATCTCTGTTCAACCATGGAGACTCCCTGGTAAAATCACTCATTACTATTTCACATATTTTGAAAGTACTTTTAGAATTGCCCTGAGTCAGATGTGACTTGACAATGCTCTATAGCTAAAGAAGGAACGAGGAGACCATCAGGTATACTTACCTATCCAAGTGGAAGGCAGCAATTTCTGCATTATGTCGTTGAAAGTCCACAAAATAGAAAAAATCTTCAGGAGTTTCCTCATCTCGTTTCTGTCTGAAGGAAAGCTAGGGGTTAGGAATGGTAGCAACTGATGTTGTCCTTGAGCTCCAGAAAAGTATTTCACAATTAGTACAAAAGGATACGTGCTGATCCTCTGATCGATTTTCATTCCTCTGTTCCAATGGCTGGGACAAATAAGGTTGAAATCACCTCACCCAGCAGCACCTCAGGGCCAAACTGAGTCCACAATGCCATTCATGCTGCTGTGTGAGTGGTGAGCAACAATACAGAGAGCCATCTGCCTTTTGTAATTGGCAGCTACAGATCCAGCTCATGATGGCAGCAGACGGCAGAGAAATAAATTCCCCACAACCACCATCCTTGACCATATCAAGAGCTCTGGATCATTTTTCTTCCATAGTTTTACTTAAGAAAGAAAGAAAATCATTTTTAATGCAGAATTGCCAGTCATATGAATAGAGAGGCAATAGTTTGTCTCATCTTGGCCTGTTACAGGGAAATCTCTTGATTATTTGGGAGGAAATTCTTCAGCAGAGCTGGAATAGCTCAAGGGGTTGGAGCACCTGGCTGGACAGCCAGACCTGGGAGTTTGATTCCCTACTGTGCCTCTGAGGAAAAGCAGCTATGTGGATGATTGGGCTGTGTGCCCAAAAACTGCACAGTCTCAGACAGCCACCTGAAGGAGGGATGGTAAGCTACTTCTGAGAACTTTACACTTTGAAAATGTAGGAAAGCTGCCATAAATTGG